CTGTGAGTCAGAACAGCCGGCATTGTAGTCTACTCTCCCAGGATCAGGAAACCGTCCTCCATAAAATGCACTGCACACATCTGAATATTTGGGTTGAACTGTTCTGGAACAGTGTTGTAAATACAACTTAACCACTGATTTCTAGTCGTGTCCTCTTTTGGAAGGCCAAATAAAGTATTTTCGCTTTCGCAACGAAACACACAGCGTCTTCACAACATGGCGGCGGTGGTGGCAGCAACAATAAAGTTACGCCTTCTTTCTTTGCGTGGACATTTGGGCGGTGTTATGCAAATCTTCCCACATCGTGATGTAGACATGTGGGGGCGTGTTTAAACGAGGGCGTGGACCAGTCTTAACTTTTATAAAGAATATCTCTTTGGGTTTGAGACTTTAGTCTTTGCAACTTTAGGGATCTTATCTATTCACAAACAGCTTGTAACACGCCAAAGAGAAAGGAAAACTTGAAATCGCATCATATGACCCCTTTAAGGTAGCAAATGCACATTTGTGTATATTGGATGAAGCAGCAGTTTTGAGGAGACTATTTTGACTACACTCTTAAAAATAAAAGTTCTTTATTGGCACTGATGTAAGAACTTGTAACATCCATGAAACCTTTCCATTGGACAAAAGGTTCCATATAATGGAAAAAGGTTCTTGGGGTTATTAAAACATTCTTCACACTAAGAAAAAATATATTATTTTAAGAACTGTTCACTAAAAGGTTTTTGGGGAACCAAAAATTGTTCTTCTATGGCATCATTGTGAAAAAGTTCCCTTTTGGAACCTTTATTTATAAGAGTGTATGTAGGATTCTTTCTTATTTTTACAAAGTACTACTGCTGCCAACCTGACAATTTACAATATATGTTCCTCCAATGCACATTGCTTATTTCATTTCCAAGCCTTATTGGCTCCTGACAGTGTACGTTATGGTTATATGGACCTCTGCAGGGAAGGAAACCTTTTGGACTTTAATTGAACACTCCTGCTTTACGTCCTTATGATGCACCATCTCAATTGTAGTCAATGGATTCACAGCGCTCTCTGCTGCAGTGTGCAGATGCCCCTAGTCCGCCCCTTTCTCTCTGTCCTCATCTAGTCCTCATTTCTCTCGTTCCACTGCCGTAAATCATGTCATACAGTGCAGTAGTGCCTGAGGGTCTAACATGCATGAAGAAAACAGTCCATATCTGATTGAATCACACTTGCACACACTTACATGAAGAGTGAATTATGAAAAGAGTTTCTAAACTGCATCTGTCAGATCATACAGAAAGCAGATTGGTACTGTTTAAATATTCATATCAACACCATATGCCAAAATGTTCTTCATGTTTTTCTCCGTAACACACACACGCACTCGGCACAACCTATTAACAGGGAAAAGAGGGGCAGGCTCCCGGCCAAATATCAAATTAACACTGTGGAATTCAAATTCAAATGCGGCTTCCAGGGGCAAAATGAGGATGAAAATAAATGTTTGTTTCCTCTAATCTGCCTAGCTTCCTCTCGTCTCCACATCATCAGTATTTAAAGTTGAAATGAAATCAGAATTGACCCCGTTTATGCTGTTGTCTTTGTAATCTCTCATGAAAATGTAATAACGTGCTCCGTCCCTGAACCGAATTTCCTGAACCCTTCCCCTGCAACCACCTGTCATAGAAACCACTTTACACAATCAAGTCAATTCCTGATGGATAAAGCAGCCCATGCACTCACTTTTCTTATCTACATATATGGACAATCATTCGAGTTTTCGAATAGACAACCCGCAACATCATAAATGACCTTTATGTAAATGATTATTCCAGGTTTAATACAAGTTAAGCTCAATCTACAGCACTTGTGGCATAATGTTGATTGCCACAAAAAACAATTGGGGGTTTATCCCTCTTTTTCTTAAAAAACAAACAAAAAAAACACTAAAATCTGAATTACAGTGAGGTAATGGAAGTGAATCAGGCAAATCTGTAAACATAAAAATACTCACTATTTCAATAGTACAGCCACAAGATGTAACAAATATGCATGTTAACATGGTTTTAGCATTAAACAAAATCACTTATTTACCATTTCTGTGTCAAGTTATGCAACAATGTAACACCTAAAATTCACCATGTCTGCATTTATTTGATCACAAATACAAAAAAAAACACATTATTGTGAAATATTATTATAATTTAAAATAACTGTTTTCTATTTGTATATATTTTAAAATGTAATTTATTCCTGTGATGCAAAGCTGAATTTTCAGCATCTCCAGTTTTCAGTGTCACATGACCCTTCAGAAATCAGCCTAATATGCTGATTTGCTGCTCAAGAAACATTTCTGATTATTGTCGATGTTGAAAACAGTTGTGCTGCTTCTGTTGCTTTTGTGCTATTTTTGTGGAAACTGATACTTTTTTTCAGGATTTTTGATTATTATAAATCTCAAAAGAACAGCATTTATTTGAAATGATAATCGTTTGAAACATTATACGTCTTTACTGACACTTTTGATGCATCCTTGCTGAATGAAAGTATTAAAAAAATAAATAAATGTCACATTATAGAAGGAAAATTGCTAATGCCATTTCATTGCCTAACATACATCACTAATAACCAACTTTAACATGCTCTGAAAACACACTGCTCTGATGCAGTAAATCGTCTTTCAGGCCATATTTGTTTAATAGCAAGAGATGGTGCTTTTTTTTCTTTAAATGCATGATACACACACTACATGCTCCCCTTACATTAGGTGTGTGTGTGTGTGTGTGTGTGTGTGTGTGTGTGATTGCAGTGTTGGACAGACATGCACATTCTGCTACCCATCACCGATGTTATGCAACGCTTCTATGTCAGCATACAGCAGCGCTCAGCCAACCCACCAGACTGCCACCCTCTCTCTTCCTCTCTGTCCAGATCTGCATTCTTCATCTTCCAGTTCACCGTGATCTGGGTCGCGGCCTACCATGCCATCCTTTTTTCTTATCACTTTACAGATAAATTTTTGCGCATTCATTTGTCAGAACATTAAGCTCATCGAAACAGAGCTGAAGTGAAGGACCGTACAGAAGTCACTTTAATACTTGAGCAAGAGGTCAGACTGTCAACTGTTGTTCAATCAAAGAGTAAAAACACAAAATACAGTGTTTTTAAGTGCAGAAATGTCTGAGGATTACATAAAATGAGCATCAGAGCTGTTTTGAATTTGTGTTATGCTTATATTCTTGTACTTTCATTTCTTTTATATATGTCTGTCCAGGTTTCTTGTGGTCATTTAGTTTTACGTGATCACTTTCCGCCCTCTCTCTGAGCCTTTGAATCAAACAGGCCTTTTTTGTTACTGTACTTTTAAGACTTCAATATGTAAATTATCTCTCTTATGACAGACTAACCTCTTCGCATGTGAAATGAGTTGGCGACGCCCCCCCTGGTTTGCTGAATACTGATAAGGAGATGACGATGTGGGCGGTAATATAATAAAGTCATAGTTCACTCAATTCTGACATGACTGAAAAACATGGATCACAGACACCATCAAATGTGACACTAAAGACATTTATAATGTTTCAATAGATTTCGGTAACACTTTATTTTAAGGTGTTCTTGTTACATATGTTACATGTACTTATATTATAATAACAATTAATTACACATAATTACATGCAAGTAACCCTAAACCAAACCGTAATCCTAACCCTAACCATGTAGTAAGTACATGTGTAATATAATTACACTGGAACAAGGACACCTTAAGATAAAGTGTAACCAGGATTTCTATTTAAAAAAAAAAGGCTGTTCTTTTGAGATTTGTATTCATTAAAGAACTCTGAAAAAAACTGTATCATGGTTTCCACAAAAATATTAAGCAGCACAACTGCTTAAAAATCTTACCAACCCCAAACTTTTGAAAGGTGTACATAAGCAAATAACTGGGTATTTGTTTGTTAAAATGTGTACAGAATGAATAGAAAGACATGAGCACAATGCATTGTGAGTAATTGTGTAAGCATTTAACATACTCACAGCTGCATTATAAGGTAGAGGTGATTGGAGCTTTCATAGATGTCCTCCAGCGCCACTATGTTCTCATGCTTAATTCTGCAAAACAAAATGCATAAAGCTCATTTAAATGTACAATTTGACAACATCATTAATATCAGATATGTATTCATATCAGAGACACATGTCAATATGTTTATCTTTCCATCTGAATGGAAACAAGACAATAATTATGTATATTTATGTATATTCAAATGGTGTAAAACAGTTAAAAATCATTGATAAATTGCTAAATAAATAAATACAACTAAAATAAAAAAAGTTATATATATATATATATAGGCTCAGCTGTAAGGGAGACAATTTTGTATTGAATTATTAAATCTTCCAAATTGCAAATAAAATAAATGCGTTTAGGGTTTATTTTTGTGCGTGTGTTTGCTGCAATCTGGCACACTTTGCCTCTGGGTTTGTTTAGAAAGTTAATTTAAGAGAGTGGAACATTCTGGATCTTCTCATAAGCATATGAATACTTCAGTGGCGCACATTTCCATAAGCCCATAAAATGAACAATAAACACTGCCATGTTTTATGCTTTGAAGTTGCATACACTAACATGTATGCTTTTAGATGACGATGTGGGCGGTAATATAATAAAGTCATAGTTCACTCAATTCTGACATGACTGAAAAACATGGATCACAGACACCATCAAATGTGACACTAAAGACATTTATAATGTTTCAATAGATTTCGGTAACACTTTATTTTAAGGTGTTCTTGTTACATATGTTACATGTACTTATATTATAATAACAATTAATTACACATAATTACATGCAAGTAACCCTAAACCAAACCGTAATCCTAACCCTAACCATGTAGTAAGTACATGTGTAATATAATTACACTGGAACAAGGACACCTTAAGATAAAGTGTAACCAGGATTTCTATTTAAAAAAAAAAGGCTGTTCTTTTGAGATTTGTATTCATTAAAGAACTCTGAAAAAAACTGTATCATGGTTTCCACAAAAATATTAAGCAGCACAACTGCTTAAAAATCTTACCAACCCCAAACTCGCACATTTCCATAAGCCCATAAAATGAACAATAAACACTGCCATGTTTTATGCTTTGAAGTTGCATACACTAGCATGTATGCTTTTATAATTGAAATTAAAGAGTCAATACACACATATATACATATTTGTACACGCATTTCAGTTTAAGGTAAATAACAGTTTAATTTAATTTACATTTGTATGCATATACAATATATTGTCATATGCCAGAACAAATGAATAAGTGGCTTTTGAAGATGCTAAAGCATTTAGATGCACAGCTAGTCTAATTGTTGTCATTTATTGGATGCTGTTAGGGTGTCTGCTTTAAAAAAGTGGCCTTTTTATCTCTGTCATATCAACTGGCAATTTTTTTGTTTTGTTTTGTTTTTCTTCTCCACTCCTTCCCCCTCTCCATCCCTGCAGTTAACATCACTCCCTCCTCTTGTCATGGTAACACAGTCACGGCGGCTGTGTGTATACACATTAGTGTTGCATTTTAAGTGAATTCTGATCAGCGAGTCCAACTGGCACATGATAACAGGCTGGGCAATGACGCAAGTGAGTGGACAATAACAAGACTCACGCGCGCACACACGCTCATAATGGACATCGATGAGTGCAGATAACACATTTGTTTTCTCCCCCCCACCTCAGTTTCCTATAATTAACTCTTTGTCTTAAAAATCTTACCAACCCCAAACTTTTGAAAGGTGTACATAAGCAAATAACTGGGTATTTGTTTGTTAAAATGTGTACAGAATGAATAGAAAGACATGAGCACAATGCATTGTGAGTAATTGTGTAAGCATTTAACATACTCACAGCTGCATTATAAGGTAGAGGTGATTGGAGCTTTCATAGATGTCCTCCAGCGCCACTATGTTCTCATGCTTAATTCTGCAAAACAAAATGCATAAAGCTCATTTAAATGTACAATTTGACAACATCATTAATATCAGATATGTATTCATATCAGAGACACATGTCAATATGTTTATCTTTCCATCTGAATGGAAACAAGACAATAATTATGTATATTTATGTATATTCAAATGGTGTAAAACAGTTAAAAATCATTGATAAATTGCTAAATAAATAAATACAACTAAAATAAAAAAAGTGTGTGTGTGTATGTATGTATGTATGTATATATATATATATATTCCTATAATTAACTCTTTGTTCATCCATATTATGTTCACAAAAGGTTGATCCTTACAGGTAAGGGGCAATCATCTCAGAAACAGCCCGTTCATTGGTGCTCACCGCTATCTGAGCCCAGATAAAACAGAAAAAGGTTTTGGTTCGGTGAAACACAGAATAAAAGACTGCAGTAAAACGCCTCCAAGCAGCCAGCAGGCGTTCATTTTTGTCAGTAATGCTCCTTGTATTGTAGTTTAATATTTAAGAGCTACTGAGGTATGGATAAATCTGAGAGCAAGTGATTTATTTAGTGGTTTCGTCGAGTGGTTTCATATCGATTCACGATTCAATGAACTGGGAGTCACCTCTGATGCAGCAGATTAAAACATTAGCTTTGGAAACACATGAATAAACAAAGACATGCTCTGCCTTTTCTTCTTAAACAAAACCTGTAGGTCGATTCACCCTCTGACGTATTGATTTTTCAAAACTGATTCTGGAAAACCCGTCTGCTGGAGGATTACAAAGCCATTCACTGGCTTAATATCCCTCTTTCATGCATTCGTTTCTTCTTCCCTCTGTTTCTCTCTCTCTCTCCTTCAGCAGTGAGTGGGCAGAAGCTGTAGCACGACTCATTCGCTGCCTCTGAAACCATCTTCTCTTTTGATTCAAGAGGAAAAAGCACTAAGGAATAGGGGTGAAAGCAGAAAGAGGAACAAAAAACGCTCTCTATTCCATTATTTCACTAAAAAACACTACCGAGTGTCAATAAAAAGAAATCATTTAACAATACAAAAGGTAGAATCACTAGCTATTTACCACTGAAAGCTGAGTCTCGCTTTCTTTTGTGCCAGGTGCTTTTAAGTGATAGCCAATTCACTTCAGAAGCGTTCACATTATCTGATGTGGAGTGAGACTCATTCTCATTAAAGTAAATACACAAATTAGATATTTTTTAAAAGGGATAGTTCACCCAAAAATTAACATTCTGTCATCATTTACTCACCCTCCACTTGTTCCAAGCCTGTCATTTTGGGCAAACTAATGTCTCAATTGCTTCTCCAAGACAGAAATGAAAATTAAAACAGAAAATTAACTGGAGAGCTTCTGCTTCTCAGATTTATTTTTTAAAAGAACAATACCCAGGACAATATCTTCTGTCCTCAGATTTACCAAGATAACAAAGTCTCTTGAGACCTCAAAAAACGTGCACTTGTACTGTTCCAATCTTTCAAGTATGTTTTTTAAACTGTACTTGCTTCTTGTTTCTAAACACACTTTTAAAAAGTACACTTTGTAAAAATGTCACATTCAAAGTTTTAAGTACATTTTAAATCAGTATGTTTTAAAAATGAGGTGTTGACTAACAAAAAAAGTACTTGACTATGATTTTAACTGTAGTGTTATTCGATATTACTTTTAAAGTTAATATATTTTAAATTTACTAAATTGCAACTTCATTACATATTTAAATGCATGACAAAGTTTCAATAGAAACAACATTAAAGTGTATTTTAAATAAATCCTTATCATTAAATTCAGCTGTACAGTATAAACATATTTCAAAGACAATATAATTATGAATTAACATATAAAGATGCACTTAAGTGCTACTCAAGTGGGTCAAAACGCACTCTAAAGTTTAGCTAATTGCAATGAATTTAAACTACATTTTCTTTTAATTGCAATTAAGTGTCTGAAAACATTACATTGAGTTTGCACTTAAATATATTCTAAAGTATATTATTAAATTATCTTAATAAAAGTGGTACGCACTTTTACTATATGTCAAAAACTGTATGAAAATTATATCTCTTTTGTTTCTGTTCTTGCGTCTCCTAAGAAATTTTAGGAGAAACATCTAAGACAAAAGCTGATATTTAAACAAAACAAGTGACAAAAGCGATCTCTTCCATGTAAATCTTAGTTTTTGGCAAGTGATGCTGTGCTGGGTAGCCACTCCCACCATGAAATCTCATTGGTCCATAATCCTACTATTGCTTGATTGACTGTGACTATTGCCTTACACAGCATTTACAATTTCAGTGCGGACTGAAACATTTATGACTGGAAACTTCACATCATGCCTGATTAGAACTCAATTATGTCTCGTGAGCTATGAAAGAGCAGCCTTTGAGCAATAAAATTTTCCCTCTGGGTTAGCGAGTCCCATGTCTGGATAAATTGAATTGACTTAAGTATTTAAACATAACATTAGTCAATCAGTCAGCATGACTCTGAGGCATGCCGGGAGTGTACGTTAGCGATTCTTTGCGGGTATTGTGAAGATTAAACTCTAACCTATGAGGGCATCTCATTATCTCATTTGTAGATGCGAAGGAAATATCTTTCACTCGTTCTGAAATACATATGCAGGCAAGACAAACAGACAATGAAGGAATGAACACACTCTTGTTCGTTGGCTTGTGCGTGCGCTCGCTCTATCTAATTACAGGCCTATGGCATCACCCAGGAGATGGCAGACAAGCTGTCAATCATTTGACTACGATATGAGATGAGGGAGACTGAGACAAGAAGGATAAAACTGTGCGTCCAATCTCCAGGGTACGATCGCCGTGACAACAGAAGCCCATGTCAGAATCAGAGGCAGCCTTTTTGATGAATCTCAGAGGAAACACCCATCACACACCATATGTCACACACACCGAACTAGGGCTAGGTATCGTTTAAAAATTTTCGATATCAATACCGATACCGATACCTTGACTTCGATACCGGTTCCTGAACGATACTTTTTTCGATACCAATTTTATGAAAACTAGGATCGTTTTCATTTTAGAACATAAACGCACCAGTGTAAATGTATGCTTACATCTAAGGGGGCTGGGACGCACGCATTCACACTACAGCCTCACGTGTGTGCCACATCTCTGAGTGTAACCGGTGTTAACTAGTGTATCGAGGCATTTCAGTCAGTGCCTAAAAAGTATCGAACTCGATACCCAGCCCTACACCGAACACACCTGCTTACATTTGCACCGACGGTGGGAAAATACCTGAGAAACATGTTAAGCTTGTTGCTTTTATGTAAAAGTGTGGTTTGCTCTGCTTTCTTTAAGCTAGAGTGGGCACATTAAAGGGTTAGTTCACCCCAAAATGAAAATTCTGTCATTAATTACTCATCCTCATGTCGTTCCAAAC